GCCTCAAAGCCGGCGATCTCCGCCCACCGATCATCTGATCACTCGTCTTAGATCAATACGTGGCGAGTGATTAGATAGCTGAGAGAGCGTAGTGTTGAAGAGGGCACAGCGATGAGAGTCGCATCAATGCTCAACGGGCAAGGAAGGGGTCCCATTTCTTGGGTTCTTGGCCGTTTCTCATGGTTCTTCCTTCTTTCGTGTATCACTTCCATCCCTAGGTTAGTTTGAAATGGGTTGCTTCTTCATCGTGAACTCATCTTTTAAAGGAGGGGTTATTTCTTAGTAATTTTGAATTTTTGAGAGTTTCGAGATACTGCTTCCGAGAGGAAAAAACACATTTAACGACGAGGCGAATCTTACCAGTTTCGCGCTTCCCTAGCCTGGAAATCTCCACAGACCTCGCCATCAACATCTAGCTCGTCTAGTATTTCACTTACCGCTTGTTCAGTGGCTGTCTGACCTATAAAAGCAGATAGCGTTGAATCTTCCAGAATACCAGAGATGACTACTGAACTTCCTCCAGCAGCTGCGATCTCCGAAGGGTTTGGAATTAGGACACCGACCAGCTTTTCCAAAAGAAGAACGGCTTCTGGAGCTCTCTGCCCTAGTATGCTCTGCAATTTAGTGAATAAGTTAGAGCAGTCCTCAGACAGGGAGTATGCAATTTGGGCCGAGTAAGGCAAAGATGGCTTCCTTTTCTGGGATTGACCAGGGTCAGGGAGATCATGATGGGACGAGAGAGCAATCGATGACATGACCGCAAAATGCGAATTTGACCGCACAATGCGGAATTGGTTTTGTATTCTCCGAAGCCGACGGAAACAAGTATTGTATTTGGCAAATACAATACTTGTTTCCGTCGGCTCGGTAAAATCAACAAGGGACTCCAAAAAAAAATCTAAAAAAAGATTCCGAACCATCAATTCTGTTGTAGGGTGTTATTGATCTATGATAATTAGATGTGTTATCTTAGTCTTGCAAACCCGTGTGTTGTGCGTAGCCATGTCATACCGGTACCCAGAGGTTTTTATGTTGTCATGCTCAGTTCTGTTCTTCAATAAATCTTCTCGTCTCCTGGTGTTCTTCGGCCGCCAACAACCACGTCTACAACAAATTCGTTCCCACTTCGGTGAGACCTTCAATATGGTTCCGCTCAAGCACCCAGAACGAGAGTGATACAGAAATGGTGCACAGAGCAATTCTCTGACTTCATGAAACACGACGGATTTCCTCTTGTTCTCCGGATTTTATCCCGATCTCCCGAAGCTTCGCTGCTTTTGGAGACTCCGAAGAAAACCAGCTCGACGGGGCTAATAAAAGCTGATATCAGTCCTAGTAGCACCAGCAAAAACTCACTTAAACACTCACTCAATCCGATCAATTTTTGTATCTGCTAACTTGAAGAGAAAAGCCTTTTGTATCAGAGGCGCAAATTGGACTTCGCTAGAACAGCGTTTTCAAAATACAGGGACGAAACTGACGAACAGTGCCTACATGTGGAGCAATTTCCCAGCTTCTGAAGAACAGTGTGAAGGCTTAAGTGATCGCTTTCAGAACTATTGACATCTCTTGGATTATGTCTAGAAGTAGCTATAGTCGTAGTTATGATTGATATCAAGCGTGATTTCTTATTTTTTTTCTGATTTACAGTTTCGAGGTGAGTAATTGTTTTAATGACAACTGGCATGGAACAATACAGGCAATAACAGGCAATGTCGTCGTATACAGGGGTGGCCAATAAAAAAGGGACACTTCACCCCACATTCAAAACGGAATTATCTACGCGTTGCGAAACCAAATCAAATGACTCCAACTGTATATTAGAGAGCACGTTCTAATCTATCAACATGCTACACAACAGCCTTCTACACCGACAACATTAGAACATTTTCCTACGGAAGCACTATGCGTGGTACGAGCTCAACGAGGTCGTTGAGATACCATAGACGATTACGACGTCTCTCAAACGCTAGTCAAAAGCGGTTCTGCACAGTCACAGCTAATGTTTCTAAGAAGCTCTTCAACAGTCACTCTATCGAAGAAATTACGTAGCAGCTTCAGGTCGGAGCGATTTCGTTAAGCCTCGTTGAGCTCGACGGTGACGGCAGATGACGTCATATTCCGAAGTCGGCGGGGTTAGTGAAGGCATTGGCTCCCTGTGCGACGAAAAGTTTGATGATGTGCGCGAACTTAGTGTCTCTTTTTTTGACCAGCCCTGTAGTATCAATCTCACGTCCAGTGAGCGAGGTTTTTTGAGGGTTCTCCGATTCTCGTGGTGCTCGGTACTTTACGTCTCACACAACATTATTTGCTTGTATATTTATGCGCCAATGACGCGCTTTGACATCGACAATACAGCTAAGTTACAAACAATAAATAAACACTAATGCTTCGCTACTAATGTACTGACTGCGTGCACGCTTCACTACAGTTCGCATTGGAAAGGGGTACGGTCAACAGAATCGTCAGGATGTCGCGTCGCCGCGCACGGCTACTTGCGCGGTGCCGTGACGCGACAGGTTTTTAATGGGCGCGGCGTACTCGATCCCACGATTTACAGCTGTCAACTCTGATAAAAACGTACAAACTTTTTCCAACCTTCATGCATAGAGGATCTTGTTTTCGTAGAAAGACCTTTCAATCTCTCCAGGTGATAACTGTGTTAATGAGCGGTCCGCACATGTACAAACATACAGGCTCCTATCTCAACATTGTGGTGATAACCTAGAGGCTCCGATTCACTGTTTCTGACTGAAAAAGGGAAGAGTCGATTTAGGCTCCCTCTTAACATTCGCAATCGAATGACGCTTACAGAAAATCGTCCACCGCTATCGCGAACGCGACCACGACTACGGGTCTTCGGACGATTATGTTGGCACGCACCCCATTCGAAGTAAGATCTTTGAAAACGACGAGACGTTGTCCACAATAAAGTTCCCGCCTATCAAGCTCGTGGGATAAGCGACAACCACAACTACAACACTAACGAGAATGCCGAGAGGCTAAGATAGGACGAATTGGAATTTACTGAATAAACAATATGAGGATCGAAGTGAGACCATTCATTAACCATCCGTCTAATTGTTAGTAGTCCGTGAAGAACGGTACTCGTGGAAGTAATGCTGCCTCAAGCAAATAACTCCAGATGGATCCATACTTTTGCTACTAGTGGGATCAAGAGATGAGTGAGCTCCAGTGGAGAACATATGAAGTATCGTTGAAGCAGAAACTCACCTTGGAAAACTTGTAAGCCGACTGTGCTAGAGATATCTGACCGAGTTTCGGGTTTAATCCACAGAACACGCCGATATCAACGGAATTTATTCGAAACAATCAGATAAAAATAAGAAAAACGAACGATATGATGAAAGCAATGACAAGCTTGAGAACGAACACAATTAAGCCGATCGCACGCGAGTCCCTGAATGTCTACGAGAGCCGTAAGGAAAGTCTTGGTGTGCGGCGCAGGTGTCGACCGACAGTCCGGGTTCGAAGCAGTACCGTTGAGCTTTAACCTATCTGACCCGTATGGCAAGGTACACCTTACACCTTATCCTCGAGCCGCTGTAGTGGAACAGAACCCAGTCGCCACTTAGGCAACTTTAGCCACTAATGCTTAGCTGGAACAGGCGCGAATATGCCACCCAGGCAAATGAGGCCACTAAGGCAAAAAAAGGTGAGAAGAGATATGGCACTTAGCGTCGTGCCCAGCAAACCGCAATAAAAAACACTAGTTTGCTCCCGGCTCCCTTTTTATGATGGGGAACTCCCGCGCGATCGATCAACTAGTGATCTCATGCGGATCACTGCACAGCCCTTCTCTTCAGGGGCGGTCTTTCGGGGTTACCCTTCTGTTGCCCGACAAACTGACATGAGGAGTCGGATAGGTGTCAATTTTGGTCCGTCCGTCATTTTGTCGACAACCCCACTGGCTAGCAGTGGAAACCACGTGATCGGCTCCATGGACATGTGCGATCGTATGGGGACTATTTCAACTCGGTCTTGTGTACCGCCTTTTGATGCTCCCGCTTGCGTTGGAATTCTACCTAAAAAGACGTTTGCCTTTTTCTAGAAATCTATAATGTTTGGAAGCTACACATGTTATTTTTTCAAACAATGCAAAACAGGACACTCATCCAGTTAGGGGGCATCAAGTGGCTCCCTCACCCCTCACCCCCTAGACTGCCTACACTCCCCTTGGCGCACAGGTTTCTTGAAGTACATACGGGATCCCGTGAGCCACGGGGAGTGTTGGCAGTCTAAGGGTGGGGGTGAGGGCGCTACACACTGCATCACACTGCCCCCCCCCCCTTTACCGGACAGGCGCCCAAAGCAGTTGCAAATCTCCAGTAATTATGGTTCTTGGCGAACAAGCTCGCACAACTCGTCTGGACTCGCCCCTTCGTCATTTCAAAGGGGAACAGAAAGATTGCTTAGGTAAGGGCTTCATCAACGGTTTTCTTTGCTTCCTTTTCATTTTGGGTCTCAATCCACAAACTCTTTATCGGCCGCTTTTAACCCACCGAATAAATCTCAGGTTGGAGCTTCAAACATTGACATTATGAAGCTGATTGCATGATTCAATCCATTTCTTTTAACAGTCAACTTCAGCGCAGTTCGAAGTGTGAGCTAATTAGTATGCGCCTTCTCAGAGTTGTCTGCACCATAGCTCAGTAGCGGATGAAGACTTTCGTAATTGGCTTAGTGATTGTGAGTGAGTTAATGTTTTCAATTCACCTGGGCAACGCTCAACTTTCTCCAACCTTCTATCGTTGCTGTGGGAACGCAACGCCAATTTACAATCACAATTCAATTCCCTCATTCGCTTGCTTTTCCAACTCGCCACAACGCCACACCAGTAGTTTTTAAGATTTTACGTGACGCTACAATGCCACCATGACTCTCCTTTCAGAGCTTGCTCCACCAATCTGCATAAGGGTCAATTCTAAACCCTTTTCAGGCCTTTTCAAGTCTTTCAAACTTCCTGTTGGAAAGTGTCAATGTCGAGAACTGTACTCTTCTCCATCATTGTGGCCACGGTGTTGGCCAAATTACAAAACGTGACTGTCAAAATCGGAGAGATCACTTGTGGTAACGACGACTATCTCGACAGTCTCAAACTTCAGGTTTGGGATAAGGATATCTGTAAGTTACCGTTCTGAATCTTTTCATTACGAATCAATGGAAGCAATGACTATTGCAGTGAAAGACGACTTGTTGGGTGAGATGTACTTCAACGTGTCCCATCCTCCTCAGAACATCTCGTTTGTAGCCAGTGAAAACGAATACCTCACATTGTCGCCCTACCTGATTTTTCAGCACACGTGCAATGGAGTAAGTGGTTTCTGTTGAAGTTTCCAAACATTCGTTTCGCGATGAACTTCTCTCAGTCGGTGTGACGTTATGATTGAAGAAGAGCGAGGACCTCGTCAAAGATTCATCTGCTATTGTTGGGGAATCTTTGAAGGCGCGAACAACGGCCGAAGGGGTGTGATTCTTGCATAGTAAAATAAAGAGAAGGGTGCAGTGTAGGTCGGTTGTGTAAAAAGAAGGAGAATGATCCGTTGAGAACGGCGAAGTTAAAAGCTTGCTCATTTTTATAATTCAATTGCTAAGGCAATGAGATTGAGTGTGAAGAAGAGAAGAATCGGCGAGGGAGCACAGCAAGTGGTAGGGCGCGGACACCCGCGTTTTGCTAACGAGGAAAAGTGGAGGCGATCGAAGCAGCCTCCGGAAGATTCTAAACTACTAGGGCGACGTCGTGGGACAGAAAAAGACAACTAACCTTCAGAAAAGTCGACCAATGAGGTCAATGTAAATCGATGCGTGAATCAACGGGCAAGTAAGGGGTTCTCGGGTTCTAAGCCATCTCTCATGGTTTCCCTTCCTTCGTGTACCACTCACCATCCCTAAGTTAATTTGAAATGGGATGCTTTTCCATCGTGAATTCCGCCTTTGAGCAAAAGGTCGCTAAATCAGCAGCGATGTCTGAAAGCTGCTTCCATCTGAACAAAAGAGCGGTTGCAATCATGATCATTAGGGTTATGCCACTTCGAATCTGTGCCACATGGCGGCATCAAAACATTCGCTCGACTTGAAGCTGATGGTGAGAGCCACAAGTTCCACCATAGGCTGAGTTTCCGGCTACGTATTATATTACGCGGGATTCCCGGTTCTACACAAGCGTAAGCTTCGAATGCGTGATTGTACATAATCTTTTTCTTATAAGTGTGATTCCGCGGAAGTAAGGCTCCAGACTATCAAGAGCTTATGCAAAGTTTCATTTGCTCTACTAATGCGTACTGGGGACCCTTTCCGAAGACACACTAGGTATTGAAGCAGTAAGGCGAGAACATTAGGTTGTTCGATAAGTTGTCGTTCTCCTCCTGAGGGAACTTCTTCTTCCAGTACCACCGATTTGCACAATATTATGTATCGTTCGGAAGAAAAGTGTCCTTCTCTACGAACTTGTTCACTTCTTTTGTACAAGTATTGTGCACTTGCTGAATTTTTGACCTGCCATGTAGGAGCACCAGTCGAGAAAATTAACCAAACCAGCAACTGCATACCTCTAGCTCACTCCTGCTTTCCTCTAGAAGGAACCGATCACTACTGTGCTACATACATAGTTACGACCCCTTAAAAACACTTCTGCTTTTGAGTTGCTCAAAACATCATGTTGCTTTTTTTTCGCTTTTGCTTTTCCTGCCAGAGCTTGTAGGTTGACCACTATCTCGTCGAATTCGGACTCGAAGATTTTTACCGCCGGGACTTTACCAACTGATGGGTGTTTGGAAGAAGCCGGAACTAAGTCTGAAATCTTTTAAAAAGAAATTTTTTCGAGTAATGTGGCGATTTCCGGGGGACTGTCCACCTTTGGCGAAGGCCTAAAACCCAGACTCATTTCACAAGTAAATATGACTAATACGCGCATTGATGATAGTCGCACAAAAAAGACCCCTGATTTACTGTAGAGATCTGGTTTCGAGAACTTGTGCAGATGCCTTTGCTGCCGATAATACAATACCGCTACTAATTTTTGTTCAATCGACGGTTTCGACGGTCGGATACCGTCGCCGCATAAACGTCGGCTCGCATACACTCTTTAAAAAATGGTGGCGCTCGCACCTGCCAGATTTATACCATACTGATAAGCTCGGCTCGGAGAGTCGGTACAAGATCGGGTTAAATTTCTCCCCAAATTTCTCGGTAAATGTGTTTTTGATGGGCCGCTCCATCTAGATTTGCGCCATGCCACTCGACTCCATCCGAGAAGCTAAGAATAATACTTGCGATGTGGTGCGCATTAAAAGTCCTCCTATGCAGCCTGATCGATCCCACAGAAACATGGATTTTCAAACCCCAAATACGCCACGTTAACCCAAAAACCGTGCTCCACCATATGGCTGAAATGAATGGAATGTGTTTTTTTTTTCCGAATTTAACGATCCTCAATTCAGTTCCTAGAGCGCTAAGTTGGCTAACCGTGGCGCTATCAACCCATTCTTTCACTCAAATGCAGATCCTTCGAACACGGTTTCCAGCAGTAGTAGTGCGTAGACCGTATTATGTGACATTCCCCACATTTAGAGGAGATTGATTGCGGAAACCTGAGAAGATAGCCAGGAATCTCTCACAGACGTAGACTCCAGTTACTTCTCTTGTAAGACTGATGTTTCGAATATTTGGTGCACGGCGTAAGCGCGCCCGTCCGTGGTGTGGCCCTCAAAACATCACGCTCCGTCATGCCCTAAAATTGAAAATTCAGAGTTTTTGCCTCTTCCAGATGACTCTACGAGAGCTGAGGGTGCACCGTTTCAGTTTTCCATAAAAAAATACTCGTAATGGTGATGCAACTCAGTATTCACAACAAAACTTTCTTTTTCCTCACTGTTTTGCTCCCCATTGCCGATCGTCCTCCTCCAGCCCTTGGCGCACGTGCGATAGCGAGAATTCTGTCGGACCGACGTGGGACTCGCGCCGTCACTTGTCTGTGAGAACGCAGAAGACTCTCTGTGGTCGCGGGGTAAGCGCTCCGTCCGTTGTGTGGCCGCCAACACACCTCACCCTCTCCGTCCACCCACCTCACAATCACACACTCAGATTTCTCTCCTGCATCTCAGATGGTTGTTCAGACGCCGGATGATGGGCCCCATATGGATTCCCGGGAAAAATGCTATATCGAATGATACTTACATTACGCCTCCCAGGTGAAACGTTTGTTTTTCCCCGTTGCAGCCTTCCCTATTGCCAACTGCGCAGCATTAGTCTCACATTACTATCCCAAAATACTCAAAGTTTCATTTTTCGTCGAAACTTATGCTAGGGTATTCGATGCCCTGCATACGAATATGACATTGCATTCTCGTTAGTTGCGGGCAGGCCCCCAAACAATCACACCTCGCCCCAGTTTTGCGAATGTTCCGATGTAGAGCATGATGTTATGGGAGAAAGCTGTGAGGCAGCGACGGATTTCCGGGGTGTTTACTGGCGGATACTACGATTTATTGTCTGTAGGGAATTAGCATAGAGATCGCTGGTGGGCGTGCAGGTGAATCGTTTCCTTCCCGTATGCGTGCCACAAACATTCCACACTGCTGCGTTCAGTGCCCTTGGCGATGGATGATCAGATTTTCTGGGTTCTCCAGATGGACATAGAAGGACTGAGATGTGGCACCATTCAATACTCCATAACAAGATTACTGTCGAACGGTATTACAGCCACTTTTTGGAGAAACACCATAGTTTACCTTCACTGGATCCATTTTGGACATTTTCGGACTTTTTGGATGGGGAATTCGAGAAGGGGATGGGTACGAACTCTCTTTCGCTTATCGTACGGAGTAAGTTACTTGCAGTTTGGAAAAAGATTGATTACACTCCGGCGCTGAGCGAGTGCTTTCTTCCCTTGGTGTGCGCCTCAAACATCGCTCTCGTCATGCCCATGAAATGAAAAACCAGATTTTTTTGGTCTCCCAGGTGGCTCTTGGCGCGATCTGTGGTTATATCACCCGTTCGATTCTCATTGCCAAACAGGCCTATCGAACGATATACATCTTCATGTTTCCCGACTTGAAAAAAGTTTCGTGGTTTTCACCGTTTTCGGCCTTTTTCCTTTATTCCACCGATCGCCTTCCTCAGCCCTGGCCCACCACGGTGTAGTTCACGTGCAGCGGAGGTGAGAGCTCACGTGAACAGCCGATGGCCTTTCCGGTAGCTGGCGCGCAGCCCGATCGATACACGCCTAGCGTGTTCGAAAAAGTGCGTTGGGAAAGTCACCACGCAACTGCGCACCGTGAACTTAGCACGGTGGTGGCACGCGAGCGGCTGAGGAGGCGCAGCGCGATAAGGAAAAGGCCGAAACGGTGGGAAAAACGAATAGTTTCAAGTCGTGGAAAACTGAGATGTATATTCGTCGATAGCATTTTTGCATGGAGAATCGAAGTGTGCTGACACGAGAGGAAGAGAGTTGCGTACCCTCCTTCCTCGAACTTCCCGTCAAAACATCCCCGAAATGTCACGAAAATGGGATCAGTGAACAGGTAAACTAGGTGTTCCAAAAGTGAGCTGGATACGTTCGACAGTATTTGGTGTATGGGAAATATGATGGTTGCACATCTCAGGCCTTCCTAGGTCGTTCTGAGAGCGAAAACATCTGATTCAACTTATCGCAAGGGCCATGAACGAGGCTGGATGTTTCGGCACGCCACTACGAGAGGAAATTCACCTGGCCACCATAGCCGTTTCTATGTTAATTCCTACAGACAAGTTACCGCTAGTATACGCCTAAGTAAAGGGAAAATGCGTCTCGCTTCACAGCTTTCTACTACATCACATCTGCTTCGAACACTCGTTGGATTATCACGCGCGCTCTCACACCACACATATACACTTGCTGTCCGTGGGCTGAGCGATCGGTTGTAGATGTTTGCGGCGCCCACTACGAGCGCATAGGAAGGATGTTAATTCGTATACTCAGGGCCACTTCCGAATTTACGCCCAAATAGGTCAAAGGTTTCGACGAAAAGATGAAACTTTGAGATTTTGGGATAGTAATTAGTGGAATAATGATGCGCAATTGGCAATAGGGGCAGGCTGGAAAAACGGTTGAAAAACAAAGTTTCAACTGGGGCAGGAGGTAATGTTACGAATCATGGATAGCATTTGTTCACGCGGGAAGTTGCCGAATGGGCGGCACATCTCAGCGTCTGCAGAGAGCCAGTCTGGAAATGCAAAAAATTCGGTGATTTTATATTTTAGGGCATGACGGAGAGTGATGTTTGGGGCCACACCACGGACGGGAGCGCACCCGTGACCAAATATTCTACATCAGTCTACAGAGCAAGTAACTG